TAAGATAGCGCCAAACATGAACACAAAAACATTTACCTACCACCACAAAAACACACTTAAGTACATAGATCATTGACACTATAGAGCAAATACAAAAATCAAGTCTGCATAACAACAAGCTAACAACATGATGTCAGGACCTAATCCTCACATATCAATATTAACCTTGAACATAAGTGAGCTAAATACCCAAATTAAAAGGCATAGAGTGGCAAGTTGGATAAAGAAGCAAGACCCAACTGTATTTTATCTTCAACAGACCCATCTCACATGCAATTACACCTATAGTTTCAAAGCAGAGAGATGGAGACAGATCTATCAAGCAAATGGAAAGCAGGGGTTGCTATTCTTATTTCATACAAAATATATTTTAAAACAACAATGATCAAAAAGGACAAAGAAGGGAATTACATAATGATAGAGGGTTCAATTCAAGAAGACTCAACTCTCATAAGTATATATGTATCGACACTGGAGCACCCAGATTCATAAAGCAAGTTCTTAGAGACTTACAAAGAAATTCAGATAACCACACAATAACAGTGGGAAACTTCAACACACCCCTGATGTATTGAACAGATCATCCAGGCATAATACTAACAAAGATATTCAGGACCTAAACTTGACACTTGAGCAAATGGATCTAACAGACATCTGCACAACCCTCCACTAAACAAAGTCAGAATACACATTCTCCTCATCAGCACATGGCACATACTATAAAATTGACCACATGCTTGACCGTAAAGCAAGTCTCAACAAATTTTAAAAAAAGAAGAAAACAAATCATACCAACTACACTCAGCCCACAGCACAATAAAAATGGAAATCAATACCAAGAAGATCTCTCAAAACCATACGACTAAATGGAAATGAAATAATCTGCCACTGAATGACTTTTGAGTAAACAATGGAATTAAGGCAGAAATCAAGAAATTGTTTGAAATAAATGAAAACAAAGATACAACATATCAGAATCTTTGGAACACAACTAAAGCAGTGTTAAGAGGAAAGTTTTCAGCACGAAATGCCCAAGTGAAATGGTTACATATATCTAACCAATTAGCAACCTAACATTACATCTAGAGGAACTTGAAAAACAAGAGCAAACCAACCCCAAAGCTAGCAGAAGTAAAGAAGTAACCAAAATTAGAGCTGAACTGAACAAAATGGAGGTGAGAAAAAACATACAAAAGACTTTTTCAAAACCAAAAGTTGGTTTTCTGAAAGAATAAATAAGACTGATAGACCACTATCTGGATAATAAAAAAGGAAGAATAACCAAATATACACAATCAGAAATAATGAAGGGGACATTACCACCAATCTCACAAAAACACAAAAGAAGAAAAAACCCTCAGAAACTATTATGAACTCCTCTATGCCCACAAACTAGAAAACCTAGAAGAAATGAACAAATTCCTGGAAACATATTATAAAACCTCCCAAGATTAAACCGGGAAGAAATTGAAACCCCAAACAGTTAAGTAATGAGTACTGAAATTGAATCAGTGGTAGGAAAACCCACCAATCAGAAGAAGTCCTGAACCAGATGGATTCACAGCTGAATGCTACCAGATGTATAAAGAAGAGCTGGTACCAGTCCTACTAAAACTATTTCAAAAAATCAAGAAGGAAAGACTCCTCCCTAACTAATTTTATAAGGCCAGCATCATTCTGATACTAAAAATCTGGCAGAGACACAATGAAAAAAGAAAACTTCAGGACAATAGGCCTAATGAACATACATGCAAAAATCCTCAACAAAATACTAGCAAACCAATTCCAGCAGCACATCAAAAAGCTAATCCACTACAATCAAGTAGGTTTTATTCCTGGGATTAAAGATTGGTTCCACATTTGCAAATCAATAAATATGATGTATCACATAAACAGAACTAAAATAAAAACCGCATGATCATCTCAATAGATGCAGAGAAGGCTTTTGATAGAATTCAATATCCCTCCATGTTAAAAACCTTGAACAAGCTAAGCATCAAAGGTGCATACCTCAAAATGATAAGAGCCATCTATGACAAAACCACAGCCAACATCATACTAAATGGGCAAAAGCTGGAAGAACTAGAACAATACAAGATGCCCTCTCTCACCATTCCTCTTGAACACAGTACTGGAAGTCCTAGCCAGAGCAATAATGTGAGAGAAAGAAAAGACATCCAAATGGGAAGAAAGGAAGTCAAACTATCTCTGCAGAAGATGTGATTCTATATCTAGAAAATTCCATAGTCTTTGCTCAAAGGTTCCTAGATCTGATAAACAACTTCAGAAAAGTTTCAGGATACAAAATCAATGTACAAAACCCAGCAGCGTTTCTATACACCAGTAATATCAAAGATGAGAACCACAACAAGAATGCAATCCCATCACAATAGCTACAAAAGAATAAAATGCCTAGAAATAGAGCTAACCAACCACAGAGGTGAAAGATCTCTAAAAACAGAATTACAAAACACTGCTGAAAGAAGTCAGAGACAACACAAATGGAAAAACATTCCACGCTCATGGATAGGAAGAATTGATATTATTAAAATGACCATACTGTCCAAAGCAATTTACAGATTCAATGCTATTCCTATTAAACTATCAATGACATTTTTTCACAGAACTAATAAAAACCACTCTAAAATTCATTTGGAATAAAAAAAGAACATGAATAGCCAAAGCAACCCCAAACAAAAAGAGCAAACCGGGAAGCATCATATTACCTGATTTCAGACAATGCTACAAGGCTACAGTAACTAAAACAGCAAGATACTTGTACAGAAAGACACATAGAACAATGGAACAGTTTAGAGAACCCAGAAATAATGCCGCAAACTTACAACTATCTGATCTTTGACAAAGCTGACAACAACAAGCAGTGAGGAAAGGACTTCCCATTCAATAAATGGTGCTGGGATAATTAGCTGGTCATAGCAGAAGATCAAAACTGTACTTCCAGCTTTCACCATGTAAAAAAAAAAAAAACTCAAGATGAATTAAAACCTTAGATGTAACATGTAAAATATTAAAAACTCTAGAAGAAAACCAAGGAAACACCATTCTGGACATTGGCCCTGGGAAAGATTTCATGGCCAAGACTCCAAAAGCAGTTTCCACAAAAACAAAAATTGACAAGTGGGACCTAATTAAACTAAAGATCAGGGTTAAGAGGAAAGCTTCTTCTGCCCAGCAAAAGAAATTATCAGCAGAGTAAACAGACAACCTACAGAATGGGAGAAAATATTTACAAACTACAAACATCTAAAAAACTTCTAATATCCGGAGTCTATAAGGAGTTTAAACAAATTAACGAGCAAAAACCAAACAACTCCTTTAAAAAGTGGCAAAGGATATGAATAGATACTTCTCAAAAGAAGACTTTTATATGGCCAACAAGTAAAAAAAGAAATGTTCAAATCACTAATCATTAGGGAAATGCAAATCAAAACCACAGTGAAATACCACCTCACGCAAGTCAGAATGGCTATTACTAAAAAAAAGTGAAAAAATAACAGATGTTGGCAAGGTTGTAGAGAAAAAGGAACACTTATACGCTGCTAGTGGGAATGTAAGTTAGTTGAGCCACTGTGGAAAACAGTCTGGAGATTTCTCAAAGACCTTAAAGTAGAATTGCCCTTCAACCCAGCAATCCCATTACTGGGTATATACCCAAAGGAATATTAATTATTCTATCTTAAAAACACATGCATGCATTTGTTCATTGCAGCACTATTCACAATAGCAAAGACATAGAATCAACCTAGATACCCATCGATGGTGGGCTGGATAAAGAAAATGTGGTACATAGACACCATGGAATACTATGCAGCCATAAAAAAGAATGAGATCATGTCCTTTGCAGCAACATGGATGGAGCTGGAGACCATTATCCTAAGCAAATTAACACAGGAACAGAAAACCAAATACTGTATGTTCTCATTTAAATGTGGGAGTTAAACATTGAGCACACATAGACACAAAGAAGGGAACAATAGACACTAGGACCTACTTGAGGGTGGAGAGTGGGAGGAGGGTGAGAATTGAAAAATAACCTATTGGGTGTTATGCTGATTACCTGGGTGACAAAATTATCTGTATAGCAAATCAACTATAACCGTGGATGTATCTATTTCCCCTTGCAGCTCTGTTGGTTTTTGTTCATTTATTTTGATAAATAATGCTCTGTTATTGAGTGCATATACATTTAATATATTTATATATTTAATGAAGTGATAGAAGCCAGTTACATAGAGTAAGTATTGTGTGATTCCATTTTCATGAAGTTCCAGAATGGACGAAACTAACAGATAGTGATAGGGGTCATAAAAGTGATTGCTGGAAATGAGACATTGACTGGGAAAGAAAATGAGAAAACTTGGAGGGATGATGAAAAGATTCCCTATCTTAAGTGGGGACATGGTTACAGTGTGTGTACATTTGCCCAAACTAATTTAACTGGACACTTAAAATGCGTGCTTTCTATTATAAAGTATGCCTCCTCCATAATGTCATAAAGCTGACATTAAGTAAACACTGTAGTTGATGTGAAAAATGCAATGTAATGGTGATGAGCAGTAATGACTTCGGGTTGATTTGGACTATCTACTATAGGGCTTGTATCTACCACATTCCTTGTACTTAATGCACCTGACACAGACTAAGTTTTGTTCATTTCTTTTTCTCAGTAATCAATGCCATAAGAAAAGGCTAATATTCCAGGAAATATGATAATCTGATATATGAGGAGCATAAATACCTCCAACAAATTAACTGGAGTACATATTTCATCAGAACTATTAGATTCAGTTCCACATGTGACTATTTAAATTATTGACATCAATACTTTTTAAATTATTACTGAATCAAAACTTTAAAATAGTCACATGTGGAACTGCAGGGAATGTCAGGTGTTAATGAAGAAATGCCTTAGAGTCCTTACGTAGGGCAGCATTCAAAAGGGGTAATGCTGAGTGGAAATTAAGGTCTCTATCACTCACCCTGGAGCCTGAGACCATGACGGGATTCACATCGTCCATGTTTTGCACTGGCTGGGCTGCTTTCTTCCTTCTGGTCTTCACTCTGAGGGAACAGCACCAAGCCTTTCAGTCTGGTTATTTGGAGCCTCTTTCCCCAAAAAAGAACCATCTTCCCACTCCTTATGGAGAGTACAGAAGTAATGAAGAGGTCCAGGTGATCCCACAAGCCCAAGAGTTGAACCATGGTTTCAAAGAGACCTCATGCTTGGCTCAGCTGGTCAACGGGGTAATTCACACCACCACTACCCTCCCTTTCCTCAGTCTCGACTTTCCCAAGCACCCCATTTTCCTTCACTTGGGTTTTCTGAGATTCTGCCACCTGTGTGCCCTTCCCACATCAAGTCTTTCTGTGCCTCCCTGGAGCCCACTCTCACCTGAAGATGAAGCCAACACAGAGGAAAACCAGGGCTGTGGTGCCAGCTCCCCAGACTGCTCCCAGGACACCACCAACCCCGCCTTCTGGTTTCCCTATAATTGGAATTTTGAGTGAACTCCAGTTCCAATTCCAGTACATCCTCCCAACAGCCATTCCTCTCCACCTTCCACTAATGTGACCACCCCCAATCCAGGACTCAGTCACTCACCATTTCACTGCCCTGTGAACCCGGAACCAGCCTCTTCTCTCTCCATGACTCCCCCTTCCCCCAACTGCAAGACTGAGGACGTTGTGTCCCCAGCCACTCTGGTCTGGGCCTTGGAAACGTCTTCTCCAAGCTTCATTTCTCTGGAGCAGTTAGGGTTAAATTATGTCTCCCCACAATTCCTATTCTAACCCCCAGCACCTGAAAGCATGACCTGATTTGGAGAAGGGTCATAGCTGATGTAATTAGTTATAATGAGGTCATCCTGGATCAGGGTGAGCCCTAATCCAATATGACTACTGTCCTTATAAAAAGGGGAAAATGTGGGTGGGGTACGGTGATTCACACCTGTAATTCCATCACTTTGGAAGGCCAAGGCAGGCAGATCATGAGGTCAGGAGATTGAGACCATCCTGGCCAACATGGTGAAACCTGTCTCTACTCAAAATATAAAAATTAGCTGGGCATGGTGGTGAGCACCTGTAGTCCCAGCTACTCGAGAGGCTGAGGCAGAAGAATCGCTTGAACCTGGGAGGTAGAGGTTGCATATGTCAGATTATCACATTGCAGTGAGCCAAGATCGCACTATTGCATTCCAGCCTAGCAACAGAGTGAGACTTCCTCTCAAAAAAAAAAAAAAAAAAAGGAAAATGTGGACACAGACGCACATATGGACGCAGACACAACCATGTGAAGATTAAGTCAGAGGTCAAGGCAATGCTCCTTCAAACCAAGGAACGCCAAAGACTCCCAGGAAACCACCAGAAGCCAGGGAAGGAGCATGGAAGAGATTCTCCCTCACAGCCTCAGAAGGAACCAACTCTAACACTGTGCATGATCTTGGACTTCTGACCTTGAGAACCGTGAGACAATACATCCCTATTGTTTAAGTCATGCACTTTGAAGTACTTTGTTATGGCAGCCCTAGCAAACTCATGCAAGAACCCAGGCTTCTCCTCCCCCAGCTGTCACCTCTTAGCAGACTCCTGACCTGGTAGCAGCTGGGACAGAGCTGCTCTGGGATGTTCTGGGCCTCGAAGCTGAGCCTGATACTTGAGCTGAATCCCTGGCAGAGGCTCAGGGAGCTGTTGGCCAAGGGACCGACTGGTCGGGGGTGACTGTGAAGGAGCCATGGCTCCTGTTCCCATTCCTCCAGCATCCCCTCCCCAAGCTTCCAGTGCAGGGAGGAGCCGCTGCAGTGTGGACTCTAAGCCTCCCAGAGGCAGGAGGGTCCCAGCAGTTGTGAGGGGTCTGGGGAGGGAGGACAGGACTTAGCAGGGGCCTCTTCTCTGAATACTATGGAGTTCTCGCCCAGCTGCCCACACTCTCGCGCACCTCCCCACACTCACACTGCACAAAGAGACTCAGAGAGATTTGCAGGGAGCCCAGAGGGTGCTGAGCGCGGCAGGTGAAACCTCCTTCTTCTGCAGACCCTACTTGCGACAGCTCCAGGACCCCGGTATTGGAGATGGGTGTGGCGTTCAGGGCAGGGAAGCCCCGGAACCAGCTCAGGTGCGCAGGGGGGTTGCCGTCAGCATCACAGAGCAGCCGCAGAGCCTGGCCCTCCAGGACGGGGAGGGACGAGGTGTTTTGCAGGATTTTGAGGGCTTTGGGGAGAGAGGTGCAGAGAGTGAGAGATGGGGTGTAGGGGCAAGGCACTGGTGTCCCTCTCCTCCTGTGGGGTCCCCACTAGCTCTGAGGAGGAGACTAGTAAAGTGGGGGCCTCAGGTCTTCAGAAGAGCCCAGACCATTTCCCTGGAGCAGCCTAGGTTGCCCTGCAGAGCGTGGAGCAGGGGCTGGGGACAGCGTTGTGGCAAACAAGTGCCATTCCTGGACCACGGAGATGCCTGCGGCAGTAGGAAGACAAGCAGCGTCAGAGAGAAGCGGGAGTGCGAGGGGTGCGGCAGCTCCTGTGGATGAGGTGACAAAGGCTGGGGGTGAGGACAGATTCCGTTCAGGGCTTTGAAGTCTATGGAGGCCTTAGTCCTGGCTTCTCATATTGATCCCTGTTAGTCCCCACTCTGCTTCCATCTGGCCCTGGAGAGAACAGGACAGGCTGGTTCCTACCTGTGCTGTTTCCTTGGAAGATACTGACGGTCACTTTCTGTGGAGCATCTGGGGTGGAAAGAGGTGGCAGCCTCAACATCCCTGAAGAGGAATGGTAGGCATGGGGCCTTCCCCTCAGGAGCCATGAAAACAGGGAAGGGAGCTGTCCTCTTTGGCGACCAGGTCCCCAACTTTAAGCTCTGGCTCAGCCCTGCCCTGTCCCCCACACCCTCAGGGACCCGGGGGTCCTGGCCCAGCACTCACAGGAGACATTGAGCTGGATGGTTCTCTCCATGGTCACACCGACTCCAGGGAACGTCACCTGACAGGTGAGGTTGGTGCTGTGGTCCTGGGGCCGTGGGGTGATCGTGAGCACCGAGGACTGGGTGGTCCTGGGGCCCAGGGAGGTGGGGGCAGCTGACATCCAGGAGAAGATGGGGGGCGTCCCCTGCTCACAGGCCCAGGGCACAGAGCAGTTCAGGGTCCTGGAACAGCCGGACTCCAGGGTCACTGGGATGGAGATGCTGGGCCTGTGGGTCAGGGCTGGTGAGGAGATGGGGACGCAGAATCAGGACCGGGGTGTGAGGTTTCACCCAGAGGGAAGCCCAGTCTCTGCTTCAGCTCCTCCCCTGAGCCCAACAGGCTTAATTCTACCCACCTCCCAGGACGGGAGTCCTGTCCCAGCCCTGCCCTACAGCCCCCATGATCTTCCCCTGATGGCCAGTCCTGGGGCTGGTTCCTTACCCAACACACACACAGAGAGCTTGGAAGATACATAAGATGTATAACCAAAATTTGGCCATTTCTGCTTCAACTGAAAGAAGTATACAGCAGTGTCCCTCCTCCGGGCATCTCTGATCCTCAGGGAGCAGTTCTTACTGCTGAGATCCCAGAGGAGGTGGAATCGGCCCCGGGTCTCCTCCTGCACTTCTTCATGTGGGTCATTTGTGGCCACTGGAACATCAGCCCCTTCCAAGTACCAGTAGCCATAATAATTGTACCAGGGTGGATAGGTATTGGGCAATCTGCAGGGTAGGAGGACGCACAGACCCTCCTGCACCGTCAACGACTCTGGTTCTTCCAGCCGGAATCTCTGCTCCTGAGCCAGGGCCCCTGTGGAGACATGATGGTCAGCTCGGCCCAGCCCCATGGCCCCTCTCCCCCGGCCCACTCACCTGCCCACAGCAGGAGCAGCAGCAGCGGTAGCATCTCTGAGGCGGAGGCTTCCTGGGCTCCCTGCGTGAGCAGAGAATGGGAAGGGAGTGGAGGGGAAGGACTGCGGGGAGGAACGGGTGGCTGGGGAGGAGCGCGTGATGTTGGCGATTCACAGAAGAGGAAGCCACAGAAGCCACAGGCCGTCGGAACTCCACTCCCTCTGCACAGAGCAGACGGAAACCTTTTGACCCAGAGACCACAGAGACCTGCTCAAATAAGAGCAGAGGAGCAGAGACTGTGTCCCGCCTCCCACCTCAGGGCTTCCTGCGAGCACCAGAGCCTGGACCAGGGCCTCCGGGGGCATCTGAGGAATGGGACACCCGTGTCTAAGGCCCTCCTACTCTGAGGTGCTTTTCTGTGCCCCACTGTTTACACCTGGGAGCTGGTCACTGCTGGCCTCAGAGAGTCACAGCCTCATCACAAGCCATGAGAAAGTCAGTCCTGCAGGATATAGGATTCTGTAGGGTCTGTGGGAGTGTTTGGGGCAGTGAAAGGAAGAATGGTCCCAGGTGCAGTGTGGGTGGTAGCCACTCATTCATTCACTCATTCATTCATTCACAGAGTGAACATCTGTATGTAGACAGGGCTGGAGAAGAGATGCCAGGGACCTGGTCTCTACCCTTGAGATGATCCCCATGCATAGCCTCCCATCCTCAGCACACACACACGTCGTCTGGCTTTAGAGCTGTGGACACTGGTGAGTTTGCCGTGTGTCACAGTAGAATGCTGGATATTTTTTAAAACGTGAGTATGGAGGTTTTTCCTTGACAGCTAGTATGCTTACAAAATTTCAATGACATCTCCAAAATAAGAACCATGCAGCCCTTCATGTAAACGAAAAGGGAGGACACATATTTTGTGAATTGCAGTGCAGAAGAAACTTCTTTGGAATTAATGTTGCCACTCAGTGCATTGTGGACTGGAGAAGTTGTTTTTTTAGGTCCTCATCATAGAGATTAGCAGTTTCTTTCCTGTAAAAAATCTGCTTCTCACGGTTAAAGGTGGCACAAAAGACATATTTCTGGACAACATGAGTGGAATATCCAGAGAAAATTAAAATTTTAGGTCTAGTTCACACGGTTTTCCATTTTCCTCTGTGCAGTATGCATCTGGCAAATCTTTAATACCTATGAGGTATTAGAATTTACCACCATATATTTGTAATGTTTTTTATTTCTACAAACTTAAGGAGTAAATGTAAAATTTTGTTGCATGTATATAATGCATAGTGATTATGTCAGGATATTTAGAGTGTCCGTCACCTGAGTGCAATACATTCTTGTTAACTAAAATCACACTATTCTGCTCCCTAACACTGAATTTATTCCTTCTAACTCTATGTTTGTACCACTTCACTCACTTCTCTTCATCTTCCCTCCTCCCCTTATCTGACCCTTTCCAGTCTCTGTTGTCTGTCTTTCTACTGTCTACCTCCATGTGATAATATTTTTCTAGCTCCCACATGTAAGTGAGAACATGCAATATTTGTCTTTTTGTGTCTGGCTTATTTCAATTTAGATAATGAATTCCAGTTCCATCCATGCTGCCGCAAATGACACGATTTCATTCTTTTTTATGGCCAAATAGTATATATACCATATTTTCTGTATCCATTCATCTGTTAATTGACACTTAGGTTGATTCCATATCTTTAATATTGTGAATAGTGCAGCAAAAAACATGTGAATGCAGGGGTCTCTTTGATGTATTTATTTCTTTCCCTTCGGGTAGATACCCATTAGTGGGATTGCTTGTGTGATCGAATAGTAATTCTATTTTTAGTTCCTGAGAAATGTCCGTAGTGTTTTCCAAAGTGGCTGCACTAGTTTAAATTCCCACCAACAGTACAGAAGAGTTATCTTTCTCCTCATCCTTGCCAACATCTGTTATTTATTTATTTATTTTAGTAATAGTCATTCTGACTGGGTAAGATGGTATCTCATTGTGGTTTCGATGTGCACTTCTCTGATAATTAGTGACGCTGACCATTTTTTCGTATTGGCTGTTCTTATGTCTTCTTTGAGAACTGTCTGTTCCTGTCCTTTGCCCACTTTTTACTTGGATTATTTGCTTTTTCCTGTTGAGTTGTTTGAGTTTCTTATATAGTCTGGATATTAGTTGCCTGTCAGAAGAATAGTTTGCGAATATTTTCTGCAATTCAACAGGTTGTTTCTTCACTCTGATATTTCTTTTGCTGACAGAAGCTTTTTGTTTATTAAGTCCCATGTGTTTATTTTTGTTTTTGTTGCCTGTGCTTTTCAGAACTTAGTCATAATTTCTGACTCTTCTGGTCAATGTTCAGAAGAGTTTTCCCTTGGTTTTCTTCTAGCTTTTTTAAAATATAGTTTTGGGTCTTATATTTAAGTGTATGGTTCATTTTGAGATTTTTTTTAATATGATGAGAGAGAAGAATCCAGTTTCATTCTTTTGTGTGGGGGTATATGATTTTCCCAGCACCATTTGTTGAAGAAGGTGTCCTTTCCTCAATATAAGTTCTTGTCAGTTTTGTTGACAATCCTTTGGCTGTATACATGTGGCCTTATTTCTGGGTTATATTCCGTTGGTCTATGCATGTATTTTTATGCCATATCATGCTGTTTTGGTTATTATAGCCTTGTAATATAGTTTGAAGTCAGGTAATGTGATGCCACTAGTTTTGTTATTTTTCCTTAGGATAGCTTTGGGTATTCAGGCTCTTTTTGGATCCATATGACTTTTAGAATTGTTTTTTACTATTCTGTGAAGACTGATGTTGGTATTTTGACATGGATTGCATTGAATTTTTATATTGCTATAGACCAATGTGGTCTTCTTAATGATCTTAATTCTTCCAGTTCATGAGTATGGGATGTTTTTCCATTTGTTTGTGTCATCTTCAATTTCTTTCAACAGTGTTTTTTAGTTTTTCCTGTACAGATTTTCACCTGGTAGGTCATTAAGAGGATATTGTTTAATTTCCATGCATTTGTCTTGTTTCCAGAGTTCCTCTTGGTGCTGACTTGTTGTTTTGTTCCATTGTGGTCTGAGTATATTTTTAGTATAATATTGATTTTTTTTAATTTATAGAGACTTATTTTGTGGTCGAATATATGGTGTATCCTGGAGAATGTTTCACATACTGATGAAAAGAATATGTATTCTGCAGTTGTTGGGTAGAAGTTCTGTAAAAGTCTGTTAGTTCCATTTGGTCTATAGTGTAGTTTAAATGTGATGTTTGTTTGTTGATTTTCTGTCTAGATGTTCTGTTTAATACTGAGAATAGGGTGGTGAAGCTTCTTACCTTATTGTATTGCATTCTATCTCTCTCTTTAGATCTAGCAATATTTTCTGTATAGATATGGCTGCTCCAGTGCTGGGTGCATATATATTCAGAATTGTTAGATCCTCTTGCTGGGTTGATCCCTTCATCATTATATAATGACCTTCTTTGTCTTTTTCTACTGCTCTTGACCTGAGGTCTGTTTTATCTAAGTATAGTTACTGCTGCTTACTATTGGTTTCCATTTGTGTGGAGTATCTTCCTCCATCCTTTGACTTTTGGTCTATATGTGTCTTTTCTTAAGGTGTGTTTCTTTAAGCTGCATATGGTTGAGTCATTTTTAAAATCCATTCAGCCCTTCTATATCTCTTAAGAGGATACTTTAATCTATTTACATAGACGGCTATTATTGATTTGTGAGGCTTCCTTTCTGTCAGGTTATTAACCATTTTCTTGTTTTAAACACTCCTTGTTTCTTTCCTTTTATCTTATTGTTTGTCCTTGTGATTTGGTGGATTTCTGTAGTGGTACCATTTGAGTCCTTTCTAGTTCTCATTTGTATGATTGCTTTACCAGTGAATTTTTTACTTTCATGTGTTTTCATGATGATAAAATCATCCTTTTGCTTCCAGGTTTAGGACTCCTTTGAGTATTTTTTGCAGGGCTGGTCTAGTGGTAATAAATTCCATCAGTATTTGTCTTGGGATTACTTTATTTCTCTTTTATTTATGAAGAATAGTTTCTTTGAATATTCTGTGGTGGCAGTTATTTATTCTTTTAGTACTTAGAATATATCAGTTCCTTCTTTTCTTGCCTGTAAGGTTTCTGCTGAGAGATCTGCTCTTAGTCAAATGGTATTTCCTTTAGAGGTAGCTAGATGCTTTTCTCTTGCTGTTTGTAGAATTTGCTCTTTAACTTTGACTTCACACAATCTGACTATAATGTGCCAAGGAGAAGACATTTTGCACTGGGCATCTGCCTGGGGATCATTGGGTCTTCTGTATCTCTATGTCTAAATCTTTTGTTAGACTTGGGATGTTTTCATGTATTATTTTGTTGAGTAGGTTTTCCAATATTTCTTTGTTTTTTTCACCCTTATAGATACCAATAATTTATAAATTCCATTGCTTTATGTTGTCCTAAATGTTATGAAGGCTGTGCTCATTCTTTTTTGTACTTTTCCCTTTATTTTTGTCTGACTAGATTATTTCAAAAAACCTGTCTTGAAGTTCTGAGATTCTTCTGCCAGATTTAGTCTATTGTTGAACTTTTCAGATGTGTTTTGTATTTCCTTCAATTAATTATTCAGTTCCAGAATTTATATTTGATTACTTTTAAAAATATACATCTCTTTGATAAATTTCTCATTTATGCCCTGAATTGTTTTTCTGGTTTCCATAGTATTGATTCTCAGAATTCTGTTGTATCTCACTGAACTTCTTTAACATCAATATTTTGAATTCTTTGCCTGGAGTTTCAAAATTTTTCTTTTTGATTAAGATCTATTTCTGCAGAATTCTTGTGTTCCTTTCCTTGCTCTTTCATGTTTCCTGTGTCCTTATGTTAAAATCTGTGCATCTGGTATAACGGCGGCTTCCTCCTATTTTTTAATTTACTCTCAAAGAAGACATTTTCTTGAAAATGTATCTATGTTGCTTGTTTGGTGGGGTGCTTTGGCTTTGATTATGGTTACGTGCAGTAGTAGTATACTTTCTGTGTATTTCTTTGACTGTAAATAGTATTAGTGATATGTGTGATTTCTTTGGCCAGTTGGACATGGTTATTAGTGGAGCATATGGTAAAGTTGTGCTAGGGACAGGGATGCTCAGTGGGAGAGTCTTCAGGTCCCCAGCATTGGCATCAGTGGGCTGAGCATCTATCTTTGTGCCCCAGGGTGGTATATAGTGGCTTCTCTGTTGGC